GAGCCCCTTCCGAACCCGAGCTAGACCTTATTTCGGGAGCCTCACTCTAAGTCCCTGACTTGCTGCGACTTTCGGGCCGGGCGAAAGGGGGGGATAGCAAAGGGAGGGGTTCAGAATCAGCTCACGTAGCTAATTTTCCTGGCGCCTCCCCGCGCCGGAAGCGGCCATGTATCGAGGAATGGGCCCGGCGGCGGGGCCGAAACCAGCTGCATGCAGCAAATTCCGTACCACCCCTTTCCCAATCCCCCCCTTTCGTCCGTCCCGATCTAAGTCCCTGACTTGCTGCGACTTTTTCGGCCCATCAATACCGACGGCAATTCATGTTGAAGGTGCTGGTGTCAGAACCGCCGGGCTGCAGGCACCTCACCCAGTGGGCGGACTGGCAGTGCGCGAACGATCTGCGAGGCTTTCGCTAATTTCCCTAATTGTCCAGGCCCATCGACAAACTGGCTTGTGTATGTTTTGGAAAACAGACAACGCGCCGACCACCGTGGTTGTCGAAATTCCGCTGGCTTCCGCGTCATCTTCCTTCATGAAGCGACTGGCGGGCTTGGCGGGCATATTCGATAATGTGCAAACGAACAACGATGCCCTCGTACATAACGATTCGAACGATGAATTTCCGCAAAAGGCTTCTCCCATGCAAAACAAAACACCTTCGCGAAATCAGGGCCGAAGCCCCCGACCGCGGCCCCGCCGTCTGAAATCAGGAAGGACAAAGAATACACACAAACACAAATAAACGTTAATGCTCAATGGAAATATGGGTCATGGGGGAGGGGAAAAAGAAAACCCTGGAAACACGAACGAATATTGGGAATCGCGGGCGCTGTGTCGGTTCAGCTGCGTGTCCTGGGGTCCTTCGTGGAACCAGACGAGAAAGCACGTCATGTCCAGCCAGTACCGCTGTGGATGCCACGACAACTGACACCCTAACAGCCCTATCATCGAATTTAAAACGTGTTCAAAGTGTAGGAAACAGGTTCTAAACATGGATTAAGCCTGTTCTTAACCTCTTTAAAGCATGTTTGAAACATCTTTTAGACATCTGGAAATTATTTGGCAACATGCTTCCTCTCCATTGATCGTCCTCCACAAAGTCATTACTAGGGGAACAAAAAGTGACATAAACATAAAAACTCGGAGTTCCGCGCGGATTTCTCGGATCGGCGCTGGACCCCCCTCCCTGGCGCGCGGAGCGCGCCAGGGGCGGCGCCGGAGGCGCCGCCGGGGGGCCCCAGCGCCGATCCGAGAAATCCGCGCGGACCTCCGAGTTTTTATGTTTATGCAGATTCTTGTTCCCCTAATTACCGCTGGCTCCCCCCCGCGTCTGCGGACGCACTGGCCCCGCACGCGCGGCCGAGCGGCCAGCGTGGGTCGTGCCGCTCGCCTGCACCATCACCTCGCCGGGCGGGCGCGCTGGCGGGCCGTCGGCAGCGCTGACTGGGACGCACAGGGACATACTAATGTTACATGTCCTCCTTGGAGGCGCGCGTCCGACCCGAACATATAGTATACCTATCTTGTAGTATATCGCTTCTCGAGCGGTGTGGCCAGAAAGCGTCCGCCACGACGCATGTACTGTGAGATTCCTCGGTGCGCGCGTCGCCCCTGAGGGGGCGATGCACATATAGTATAACTATGCTGGAGTGACGCCGACTGACGGACAAGAAGCGGCGTCGGCACAAGCTTTCGGAGGTCCGCGGGGATTCCTCGGGCCGGCCCCCCTCTGGGCGATGCCCCTGGCGCGCACCGCGCGCCCTGGGGGGCGGGTGAGGGGTGTCCGGCGGTCCGAAAGCCCACCCCCGTTATGACCACCCCGACACGCGAAGACGTGCAGCAAGCGCGCCCAAAGGAGGAATCGAACAGGGCAGGGCTGTTTAGTAAACGCCCAGGGCCGTGTACTAAACGCTAATTTCAAGAGGCAACTACTGGGAGGTCTTCGTCGGAAAGACTAAAAAAAATTAAGTCCCATTGAAGACTGTTGCGCCGGAGTGAGCCTCGAATTAAGCGGGAATGAGCGGGATGAATTGGGATTCAGCTGGGTTAAGCGGGATCAAGCGGGATTGAGCCGGACTTCGGATCAGGGCCAAATCAGAACTTGACCTCCTAGGATTTGCATGCGAACTAATTATCTCGTCTGGGTGGTTCCCTCCCTCGATCGGGTCGGGCGAACGGGGGGGATAGCAAAGGGGGACGTGATAATCAGCTCACGTAGCTGATTTTCCCGGCGCCTCCCGGCGCCGGAGGCGCCTATGTATCGAGGAAGGGGCCTGGCGGCGGGGCCGAAACCAGCTGCATGCAGCAGATTTCGTAACCCCCCCTTTCCCAATCCCCCTCCTTTCGTCCGGTCCGAATGGGGGGTCGCAGGTCTGAGGATGGGGTAGGCAGCGACTCCTTGGAGGTCTTCGCAAGAACGACGGAGGGCTATCACGCCCGATTGGGGGGCCGTTGGGCCGCCTTAGCGTAGATCGATGAGCGGAAGACTGAGCCCGATTGAGCCCAAGATTGAGCCCTTTCGTCCGGCCCGACTCGAGAGTCGCGGGGGGTCCAGCGTCTGCCCGAGCGACCCGCGCAGGGCTCCGAGTGCGGGGCCACTGGCCGCGAAGCCGTGGGCCTCCGCGTCAGGGTCGTCGCCGCGTCGGCGCGGTGCGAGCCTGCCGTGCACACCAGTATTAAGGGGCCCTGGGGCACGCAAGTCGATAGACACAAATGGCGGATTCTCGTATATTTTCCTACATTTTCTGGTTTTTTGTCTTCCCCCCCATCTCCTATATCTTCCCACATTTTCGGGGGAAGCGACGATTCGTTGTGTCTGTGTGTTGTTCCCCCTCCTGACAGCAGGGACACCAGCCCTGGCCGAGTTCAAGCCCCAGGTCTCTGGGAGCTCGAACGCATCGCCCCCATCTGTTCCACTATCTTCGGGACGTGGGAGATTCTTCTGGGCCCCAGCGCAGTCCAACAACAACTCGGGGGGGTCCGTCTCGGCCGTCCTCGTCTCCCTTCTCCCTCGCCCTCGCCTCCCTCGTTTTCTTGCCGCTGTCTCCTCTTCATCCCTTGCTGCCTGCCCGCCCGCCTGCTTCGTCACGCCGGCCCTGGGCTTCTGCCTGCGCGTTCGCCGTCGTTAGTTTGCTTCTCGTTCCCGTTCTCCTTTTCCGTCGCCGTGCAGCACAGACTCGGGGATGAAGAAGGACACACACACACACACACACCCGTACCCATAGTGGGGACGGAGGGGCTCTGGGTGCGTGTTGTCGGACGGGGGTCCCCGCTCGAACGGGAGCGTCCCCCACGGTCCAGCAACCCGCACCCATATCCATAGCCTGTCCCCCTGCCTCCGGACTCTCTGCGGGTATGGGCCTTAGTGTGTGTTCGTTCATCATAGCAGCTGGCTTGCCGTCGCTCGGACGTCCCTTTCCCGTGCATGTTTCGGTGTCGTGCGCGTTTTTGTTGTTGCTCGATGGTCCAGGATGGTCCTCGATGGTTCTCGCCTCGCCAAGAACAAATGCATGCGTCCGAGCGATGCCAAGCTGGCGGCGGAACGCTACAGCCTCGAACGAGGTCGAGCCCGAGGTCGGCGGGCGCGCCCGCCCGGCTCCGCCCAGGGACACCAATGTACATCAGCACAGGCTGGACGCCAACCAGCGCTGACGTATCGTTGTAGTCTCGGCACCAGACCACAATCAAAACCCGTAGTGAGCATGCAAGGTGAGGAGGCAACTACTAGGAAATGTTCGTCGGAAGGATTAAGGAGGATTAAGCCCCATTTCGGAGCTGTTACGCTGGAAAGGGCCTCGGACCAAGCAAGATTAAGCCGGACTCAACGGGATTCAGCGGGATTCAGCCGGATTAAACGGGATCAAGCTGGATTAAGCCGGATTTCGGACCAGGGCGAAAACATAATTTGACCGCCCAGGAGTTGCATCCGAACAGATTTATCGTTGTAGTCTCGGCACCAGGCCACAATCAAAATCCGCAGTGAGCATGCAAGGTGAGGACGCAAGATTCTCGGCAGTCCCACTGACAAGTCAGAGCTCCTTGGACGTCAGCATTGGCTCAGGAGAAGCGGGGACGCAAGGGTGGCCTTGATGAAGCCGCGCATCCTTCCCATAGATGTTGGCTGCATCGTTGCAGAATCGACGCCAAACCCTACGGCCTACAAGAATACCCTGACTGCCTATCGCCTGGCTCAGGCGACCGGTAGTCACGATAGTCCGGCTCAGGCATCAAGCAGCGTAGCCAATATTGACGACCTACCAGACACCCCAACCTAACCCGAAGACCTGAATCCCACCAGCCCTCTGGGCGTGGGTGGTTTAGAGCGATTCCTCTTCCAACCCTCCTTCTTCCCCTTCGGGGAGGGGTTTACCCCTCCCCCTACCCCCTCCCCATGGACCTGGACGGGGGGTCTCGCGAGTCGTCGGAGCGTCCAAAACGGCCTCGGCGAGGAAGCCAAAATCATTGATTTTACTTGTGTTTTGGCCCCATGTTGGCCTCCTGGGAGGGGGGGGCCCTAATTAGTACCCCCCCATCCTGTGATCGATCTCCTCCAAGATGGCCCCAAGAAGCGCCCAGGAGGCCCCAAGAGGGCCCCAAGATGGCCCCAAGATGGCCCCAAGAGGCCCCCAAGAGGCCGCCAAGAGGCCCCCAAGAGACCCCCAAGAGGCCCCAAGAGACCCCCCTGAGGCATCCAAGATGCTCCAAGAGGCCTCGGCGAGAATGCCGAATCATTGATTTTACGAAAGTTTTAGCCGCATGTTGGCCTCTTGGGGGAGGGCACTGATTAAGATGACTCCAAGAGCGCCTAGGAGAACACAAAATGACCTCCAAGATGGCTCAAGATATCCCAAGATGTCTCGTAATGGCTTCCTCTGTGTGCTGCCCACTTCCCTGATCGAGGCAATTTCTCTGGGCATCGCTTCTGGATGGGCTGGTGGGGATTCTTTTTTCTAACGCCGCAGCCGCAGGCGGAAGCGCCGGCGGCGAACAATCATTATTTGTTTTTTTTCTTTCACACTTTCTTCTGGTTTCTCACCACAAGCACCGCACCCTCGGCATGCAGGCGTCAAGGCTCAAACTGCGACCCGCGCGGATATTCCCTCGCAGTCCGTGCTTGGCGTCAACATCCACAGCCTCAGCGCGTGCCCGTTCGGCTTCACGACACGCTAAAAGTTAATTCATACGAATAAAGCAGCATTTCAGAAAGGCACGGTTGCGCTCTGCGCAAGAAGACAATCTTCTTCCGGCCCCGTGACGAGGCCGTCGCACCGTCATGTCGCGCCCGGCCCCGGGCAGAGCCTACACACGAAACCGCGGGGGCGCACCAGGAAGGCGAGCCGGACGGCCAAGAGAAAGATTAGCACAGCCTCGAAGACCATGCCTTCGTTAGGCTCGGCGACGGTGACGGCGAACACATAGCTCACCACGAGCGGAAGGTAACCAATCCCGAATGCCACGACCGTGCGCCCGAGCTCGCCGCAACGGCTGGCGCCGCGCCGCCAGAAGCGCCTCGCACCCGCCGCCACGCTGGCTCGCATGAGCGGCCAGAGGAGAAAGCTGACGATGACGATCCGCACCGAGCGCTTGAGAATTAGGTAGGGGTCGTGCGGGCCGTCCACGACAATGGCGGTAACCTGGTCGAGGTAACGCCACAGCGAGGGTGCGGCGGCCAGGAGGCACGAGGTGTAGCTCGCTGGCTTGGCGACCATGATCTCGAGCGCGTGTGAGAGCTTGGTCTGGACATCTTCGTTGAAGCGCGCCGTGCCGACGCGGCCCGTCGCTACGGACACATCGGGCGATGGCCCGCTCGTCTCCGCGACCGCCTCCTGGTACGAGCGGCGCGGCCTGCCGCCCCCGTACCAGAAGTCGATCGCGTCGTAGACAAGCTCGCGGTCGCAGATGAGCGCAGCCCGTGTTGTTGGGTCGACGTGCTGGTGCGAGCAGCAGAAGCACTGAGTCTGGGTCACGTCGTGCACTCGCAGCTCCTCGGGCATCGACATGAGAGCCCGCATCGCTAGCCTCGCCGAGTGGACGAGGGGGAGAGGAAAGACGAAGAGAACGACCAGCGCACAGGGGACGACCGGCACACCAGGGAACTGGGTGCCAACGTAGACGCCGGCGTGGGTGAGCAGCACAATGGAGAAGAAGACGCTCGTGAACAACGTCTCGCTAGGCGGTAGGAAGATGATCGAGCCAACGTCCTTGTACTGCAGCCACGCGGCTACCTCGAAAGCGCACCACATGCGCGAGAAATACCTGGACGTACACAGCATGAGCAGCCGGTCCGACTTCTGGAGGAAGCCGCCTATCGAGTACACCCCGCGCCTCTTCTCCTCGGGGTCCACCTGGTTGATGCACGCCTTGTCGACGAAGACGCAGATCGGCGACAGGACACGCTCCCGGAAGACCTGCCAGTAGAGGAGGACGAAGAAGAAGGTGCAGCAGCCGGCGGGGAAGCACCAGACCCCGCTGGCCTCCTCGAACTCCACACCCGCCGTGGTGCGCACCTGCGGCGGCATCCGCTGCACCAGCACGCCCTGCACCTGCAGCGCAAACACCACCACGCTCACGGCGAGGCTCGTGCAGAACGCCGGTGTGCCGTTGAAGTCGACGGCGAGGGTCAGCAGCTTCACCCAGCGGCTGGTGCCCCAGTCGTGGGAGACAAAGTAGTCGAGGCGGCGACAAACTTTCGCGCGCCCGCGGTATCTCAGATCCCCGGCGGAGCTGTCCCAGATCTGGCCACCGCCGTTCAGGCAGCTCTGCAGCGCTATCCCGCGGAGCTCCACCAGCATCTCGCACGTCGCGTGGCGCAGGACCGACTTTCGGTGTGGTGAGCCCGGCGACGCGTCCTCGGCGTCCTCCGCCGAGGCCCCAGGGGTCCGCACGGCCGAAGGGGCGCCGGCCTCCCCGGTGAGCTCCACGGCTGGGACCCGGGCCGCGGTAGGCGAGCTCATGGCGAGGCCTGGCCCGGGCGTGCGCCGGGACGCAGGCTGGGCCCTTGAGTCAGGCTACGGCTGGTGGGATTCGCGAAGCGTCAACAATTTCGGGTTGGGGGGGTACGGGTTCCGCACGTGTTTTTACCAATGTTCCCCGACCCCCCCCACTGGAAATGGAGGGCAAACTGGGGCCTTCGGGTTGGGTTGGGGTGGTTTTGTGGGTGGTGAACTGAAGGCTCTGGCAACGACAGCGCCACGCGCTGTAATCCGCCCTCTGGAGTCGCTGTTGACAAGCGCGGCGGGACCCCCGAGGTTTCCCAAGGTGCCCTCTGCGGCCACGCGGCAGTTGCTTCACGGCGCGGCCCCCTGCAGGCCCACGGGCACGTGCCCCTGCACCGATCCCCAGGAGCCTCCGGAGCCGAAACAATGCCAACAACGTCTCGAAAACCTCCATCCTCCCCCTGCTCGTCCTGGGCCCTGGAGCGAAGAGAGAAAGGAAGACGGAGCGAAACGGAAAACTGGTCTGGGACGTTGACCCGAAACAGCGCTCTGGTCGACCCCCTGCGTCAAATCGCCGATCGCGGAAACGAGCCCATCCCTGGGGCCAGGATCGGCATAATTACACACGTGCCCTCCTGGGCTTGACCAGACAGGCGTACAATGGGAGGAGGAGGCCGACGCCCATGGAGGATCAGAGATCGAAGCCATCTGGCACTCTGGGCCGTTTCTGGGTCCGCAAAGGTACTGAGATAACAAGAAAAAGCTCGATGAACAAAGCGGCCTGCATTCACGCGCCATCAACCAAGAATAATGACCGTGCACGCGTGTGGACCTGGCTACTACGAGACCGCTTCCGATATCTGAGCATTTTCTTTGGGCGGGGGGCAAAGGGTGAAATCTGAAATGCCGTTTCGATTGGTTTTCGAGGCTTGAATCTGCAAAAGGCGAATCACAAGACGGATGGATTTTCGAGGTGCAACAGCCCATCTGGATTTCACCCTGAGCCTTCCACCCTAAGAAAATGCTCATAACATTCAGAGAGAAGTCTGGCGATGTTGTCGTGCGTGCGCCAGCGATTTTCAGCAGGTCCCATAGGCCCCTTACACTGCAGCCTCAAGGGCAACGTGCCGAACAGAAAACACGCTTGAGCGACTGCGCGGTCCGGCCCCCACACACCTCGCATCCCCCGCCGCTGTCCTTCCCCCTTCCCCTCCTCGCTGCCCCCACATTTGAATCGCTATCCCAGGTTATCGCGCATCGCGCCCAGCGATGCGCGGTCATACGCGCGCCCGTGCCTCCGCGGGGCACCCCTGCTGGAGAAGGGCGGCCGCTCTGGCCCAAATCGCGTTGACCCCCCCGCGAAGAACCTAGTTTTAGGTCGGGCCTGTCCCCCTACAAGGGGATTTTGGACGAAAAATAAAAATACTGAAAAAATGCCCCAAACATGTTCAAAATGAGTAACAAAAATAGTTCCCAAACTATTTTTAAAACTATTTTTGACTATTCCCCCCGTAGAGGGACAGGCCCGACTTAAACGTAGTTCTCGCCCTTTTTCCCGCGCATCGCCCCTCAGCCTGTCCCCCACTGACGTTTGCCCTGATCTTTCATGCCATATCCAGAGGCCTCCCAAACGGGGCCAGAGCAGAAGGGGTCGGAGGATCGCGCCGCGTCCAAGACGCATCAACGATGCATCGACGATGTATCGGCGACGTCGGCGATGTATTGGCGCCGTCGGGGTGGGAAAAAATCTGGCTCCACATCGAGCCACATCGCCGATGTACATATTCGGACCCGATCCGGGAGGCCTACAATCGGGCTGCTGAACGAAGGAACGCTAAACAAGGAACGAAGCCCCTTCTTGGCCGTGTAAGCGCCTCCGTGCCCCGGGAGGGCAAGAGGAACAGCACTGGAGGAACCTAAAGAACATCGAGCCCCTTCCGAACCCAAACTGTTCCTTATTTCAGCGTCTTGACTGTAATGCGAATCTAGCTGGTGCTTCCCCCAACGCCGGCACGCCACTCTCCGTCCCTGGGGCGTGGGGCGGGGCGGCCATCGAGGTCGGCGTCGCCGGCGCCTGCCCGTTGCCTGGGGCGCAACGCGGGGCGAGGAGGGAATCAGCGAGCTGGAAGAGGGAGGAGGCACGCTGGGTACGCTGCGGTTTGCAATTTGCCCCTTCGCACCGCGACATCTGGCAGCCGCCAGCCGGTCTGGCCGGGAGGATCGGCGGGCCTCGCGATGGCGCAACAGGGTTTGATGGAGGAACAGTACATGTTGAAGCTCCCTACTGGTTACCTTTTCGGTAGGGACCTACTCGGGTGCCCCTGGGTCGCAGCGAGGGGTTGTGGAGAGAGGAGAGGGCATCAGGCTAGCTGCGCCCATCGCGCTGATCTGTTCTCTCTCCACCGACGGGTCTCCCAGCGGAGCTGGACCCTTCAGGGGGACCCCAATCGTGGCATGTGCAAGGACAAAAAAGGGGGTCGACCTTCCCGGGAGGAGGATGGGGGGTGGCAGACCAGCAGGAGGACGAGCAGGAGGACAGAGGAGGATGAGGCAGCAGGAAGACCGGCGCTTGCCGTCGCTCGGACGTCCGTTCCCCGTGCATTTGTCGGTTTCGTGCGTGCTCTCTTTGCCAGATGGTCGAGGATGCTCCTCGAAGGTCCTCGCCGAGAAAGGAAATGCACACGTCCGAGCGATGCCAAGGAGCAGAGGAGGATGGACTGGGCTGTGGATCCCCTGTCAGGGCGGTCTACACGTGCCCAGCGTCCGCGACGCCGGACCTGCGCCGCGCCTCTGGCGGCGGCACGGCTGGACCAAACCGCTGCTGCTGCTGCTGCTGCTGCTGCTGCTGCTGCTGCCGGGGGGGGGCGCCGTCCCGGAGGCGCTGGCAGCGGCAGGAGGGATCTGGGATTAGGGCGGGCCTGCCCCCCTACAGGGGCATTTGGGGGGAAGATGCTCAAAAATAATGATAACTTATCCCAGTGCGACCCTACCTAGGAGTTGGAGCCCCTAGGAAAGCAGCATTAGTAGTAACAGTAAAGCTAAGCTAAAGCTAAGCAAAAGCTAATCTAAAGCTAAGGTAAAGCTAAAGCTCAGCTAAAGCTAAGCTAAATCTAAACTAAAGTTAAGCTAAAGCTAAGCTGAATCCTATGCTGTGCTGTGCTGTGCTGCGCTATGCTATGCTATGCTGCGCTATGCTGTGCTATGCTGGGCTTTGCTATGATATGCTGCGCTGCGCTGTGCTGTGCTACGCTCTGCTATGCTATGCTGTGCTCTGCTGTGCTGGAGTTCAGCGAAGCTACGATGAAGGTCAGCTAAGCTAAGATAAACCTGAGCTGAGATGAAGCTAAGCTAAGGTAAGATGAAGTAAGCTAAGCTAAGATGAGATAAGCAACGCTAAGCTCAGGGGACGTAACTGGGGGAACCGCGGGGAGGATACTGGGGGAACCGCCCGGGGCGAGTTGCACTGCTCGGCCTTTTAAGCATACCGAGTAAGAACCCTTCTAGGCAGAGCCTAGGTAGGAAAGCACGTCCCTATATGATGTTTTGACTATGTTTGAATATCCCTCCTGTAGAGGGACAGGCCCGACTTAAATCTGGGAGGAGAGCGAGCCTCAGGGAGCGAGGGATGAAGGGAGGGAGATGGGGAGGATGGGCGAAGAGGATCGGATTGGGATCGATGGCGTCGTCGTGAGGAGGGGCGATAGAAAGGTGGATGAATGGGGGGGGGGAGGGGGGGCGGGGGAGGAGGGATGGGGAGGATGGAGTAGGAGGATGGATCATGGATCATGGATGCGTAGGGCTGGCGCTGCGACATGCATTGCCAAGCTAGGCTGAACGACCCATGTAACGAATGCGAGTTCCAGGGTCGAAGGATCGATCCCAAACACCTAATTAGCGACTCGAGGAAAAACACATGCCCGAGGCTTTCCCAAGTATCCAGCTTCCAGTGGCAACGGCACGGAACGACTCGAGATGAAAAACCGCTTCCAGGACTCCCTGGGGCGATTCTCACCTGCACAATCGAAAACGAATCGAGATGAACAACCAATCCAGGGGAAAGGTCGACATCTCCAAGGACGGGCAGATCGAGGGCAAACGGGTCGTCAGAGGTCTTGGACTGCTGGTCGAGGCAAAATGTAAATTGGCTGAACGAGTTGCAAGCTACTTGCGAAAGAGAGAGAGAGAGAGAGAGAGAGAGGGACAGCGAGAGGGAGAGAAAGCGAGAGAGAGAAAGAGAGAGAGAGAGAGGAAGAGAGAGACAGAGAGAGAACGATATAGAGAGAGCGCCGTTTCCTTTCTGCAGCCTCGCGCGGGCCCGAGATCTGGCAGCGCATGCACTCGCCACCCGTGCCCGCGTGCCTAGCATTGCCTAATGCATGATTCTGTTGGCGACCACGAGGAGGCAAGGCCATGGAGGTCCACCTGTCTAAGACGACAGGCGGCTTCTCGCAAAAGGCCTGCCCTTCTCTTGGAGAGTTCCGAAACGGCATCCTGCGGGGGTTGAGTTAGGAAGCAACTACTAGGAACTGTTCGTCGAAAAGGAGCTGTTACGCCGGAAAAGGCCTCGGACTAAGCAAGACTAAGCCGGATTAAGCAGGATTCAGCGGGATTAAGCCGGACTAAGCGGGATTAAGCTGATTAAGTCGGACTTCGGACCAGGGCAAAATCAGAATTTGACCTCCTAAGAGTTGCATCCGAAGATAAGGGGCCTCCCGGGAGGCGCGGTTCCGCTTCTGGAGGCCACCGTTTCTGGGCTCCTGCCTTCACGATGCGACCTCTGATTCCTGACACCGCGCGGACTGGTCAATCATAAAGGATACACGCTCTCGGATGCCGTCGGCCCCACCCTCCCAAAACAAAACGAAACATCCCCACACGACCCCTCTGAAGGTCGACGAGCCCCACCGGAATCCCCCGAGATGCGTCGGCAACCCACGCAAAACGAAAACTCCACAGAACTACATTGGGAACGCAATGCCTCACAGACAGTTCCCGCCAACCACGATCACACGACCACATACCACATAGAGATGCGACAAAACGACTACACACTCAACGATATCCGCTGTCGGATGCTGACGCCCCCACCTTCCGTTGCGACGTCGCCCTGTGGGCTGCT